GGCGCGGCCACTCGGTGATGTCGGGTATGGACGTCGTCTCGCGGCGCCGGAGTGTTTAGGCTGTCAGCCAAGGTCGCGCGTGCTGCACACTGTCCCCGCCACGGGGGCGGTGCGTGTTTGTTGTGTGGAGGAATTAGTTCGTGGCAGTGTCTTGGAACTCTGTCAGCGTATCTGTAACGTTGAAAGACATGCGTTGTACTGTGCGGTGTGTGCCGTAATAAACCGCCCGAATCGTGTTGCCGTTTGTGGATAGTGCGTGCTGAGAGACCAGCGGCGGTAGCTGCTTTCAGGTGCGGCAGACCGGTGCTGTTACCAGCACTGAAACAGTGGTGGCGCCTCCATGTCTGGTCCGTATAATATTGTCCAAGGTACAGAATGTCCAAAGACCAAAGCTTCCAAACTAGATCCTTCAGCGGCCGCCAGGGCAAGAATGATCCCTTATTGGCAGGCAGCGTTGCCTCGCTCAGCGCCGGCCGCGCGCATACAGTCGACACCATTACGAAGACCACGCGCGTGAGGCTGGCGGGCCGGGATACTAGCTTAGTATCAGATCCATGTCCGCTCCACGACGCAATGGAGCCGGCTGGAGGCGCCGCGCCGAGCATTGGTTGCTGATCGTCAAAGTTGGGCCCGGTAAGATTTGCCTGCGTTTTGGGCTGCTAAAAAACATTGAAAGCAGGCGGAATATAAAACGGAATTATAGCCGCGCTATGCCCGAAAATATAATTGTCGAAATCGACACCAGCAGTGGGAAATTCTGGCTGCCGATCTTGACTGCTCAATTGTCAGTATAATGCAGACATCATAAGTTCCGGTTAACAGGTTTAAACAACTTCAAATAACTATAAGCTCGAGGGTTGTCGCTTCTGGCATCATACACTAGCATTGTGGTTACTATGGGATGGGGTTCAGCAAAAGCAGCTAACATCAAAATGTTTCGTGGTCAGTAGTGAATATCGTTGAATGAGGCGAATGCTCTTCAATGTGGTATTAAAGAAACACCCCATATCCAGCACGTGCAGAAAGCTGATCGAAACACGGCCGGTTAAATTTGATGTAATAGATGACCACTATCAAGAATAAGGTCAAGGTGTTGAAGACAATGACTAAAGCACCATTTCTAAATGCACTTCACATGAAAACGCTGCTCATGTCACGTCCCAAGATGATGCATGCTTACTTACCTCGATTAAAGTTGACGATTGCGCGCAACAATTTAAATATATGCATACTTGTTTTCTGACGTTAAAATGTATTGTTTACAACTAGCGTTTCTTGTGCAATGCTGCATCTATCAAAATACGCGCGCGATGCGATTGCTTAATTCGACATTAGGTATACTTAACGGTTTACCTGTCTTGTTCTTCGCAACGATATGCGCACCTTCTGTATACTTGCGCCACTGAGGTGTCCAATGAACCGGCCTGAAATCTGGCGCTTCGATTATCCCACCTGAACTGTCCCTGTCCTTAAGCTCCTGGAGATTTGATGTCTATCCCATTTTTTGATTTCATTTTCAATCCCTTGGCGCATACGTGAGGAGCTTTTACCTCCAAAAGGAACACTGGGGTTTCCTCGGGCGGTCAACTGGAATGAAATCAGGATAAGGACTAAGAAGATTGCCGAGAACACCAAGCTATTGGTCAATCTGTGAGATGGTTCTTGGAAACAGTCAGGATGCACTCAGCGCGATGCCGAAGAATGATATGCTATCAAGTTTTCCTCGATTATGTTCACTATACCGACGCTATACATTCTCTACACGGAGTATTCCTACAAGTTGTTGCATTCTTTGTCACCTTTTAGTGTTTTCGCGTATAGTGATAGTATCTAAACTATCATCCTGCTAGACTTTATCTATGCTATGCCTGGATTCATCTTTTCTTCAGTTAGATGACATATAAGACCATGATCGCACATGCGACACGCCGACGACACTTGCGCGTTTTGGTTCATGGGAACTAGCTCTTGCCAGGCTTCTTTGCCGAAATCGAAAGAAAAAGGACTGTCATAAACACCTTATCAAGCTTGTCACATATGCTTCAATCAAAGACGTAGGAACGTTTCAAAAGGTGGGGGCCAACCTCAGGGTGTACTTCAGCATTTTTTTCTGGAAAGCGAGCCCGATGACCGGCGAGAGGGGGCAGAGATGGAGATTGTCATCGCTCTTTATTCAAGTGCCGTGGCTGCTACGTTAGATATGCACCTAGAGCTGTTTCTCACTGGTGCACAGTCTTGCCTATTCGACTTATCTGTCATTTGGCAAATAAGGCTATCTGGCTCCCCGAGATTATTCGTCCATTTTAACATTATCCCTCCTGGGAGAGCTAAATTGCACGAGCGGGTAGGCATTTTGGGCCGTTGAGAGGCATCTACCGCCACAGTGTTAAATGCCAAAGTACGGCCTGCACATAGGCTAGTGAGAATTTTGAAAGTGGATCGATGGCTCACACTGCTTTTAAGAACCAAGCCACGAGGCCCATCTTCCATATGTTCCTTATCTGGGCCCTGCTCCTGTCTGCCGTCGGTGGTCACTGCCCTGGCCCGGATGCCTCCCGCACGACTGACTGCGAGCTGATCGTATGGCTACTTTGTTGCATACTTTTGGATCAGCGCTACTACTACATGGTGAAACATGTGTTGGACATTGCAGCAGTATTTTTTTCCGAATAACCTTCCCTTATACCATACCATCGCAGAAAAATAGCCTCCGGGAAGCTGTCTGCGTTAGGTATGGATTGGCCCGACAGACACTTCATTGTCCATCATGCAACGTACGCAACTTGATCTGCTTTTGTGCGTCGGCAGGGGCGTAGCCAGAGCGTTGCCAAGGGCGAACACATGGTCGACAAAAGCCCATCTTATGGTGATCCCCCCCCAAAAAAATCCACGGATATAGCTTACTGGTTAACAGGGGACACGGTTTTCATGGTTATTGTTACCTGTAACCCGCACAGAAACAGGAGCTTACCGCGAGCTGAATTCTGTTTTGTATTTGAGATTAGTAAACTGCAGAAATCAGCCGTTGAACGACTGCATGGAATAAGTTACCAACGTTTTTAAGTTATAATAGTTAGTTGACTCTTTCCAAATTGATAGAATTCAAAAGCCTTGTCAGAATTTTTCAGCTTGGTCCTATCAGACATTGAGGACATCGCGAAGGTAGATTGTAGATCGATGTGTTTGATCCAAATTGGAAGATGAAAATTGGCAAATCAAGTGGTCAATAACGACATTAACATAGCCAGGCCATGTTTGTCTGGAAATGCACACCATTCAGTTGAAATCTCTTAGTGATTTAATTTATGTAAATCCTTTTTTTAACATGCGAGCCCGCAAATCTTAGCACCAAAAACCCCACCACCAGCCGTTACAGCCTTCATTTTCTGCGGATATTTAGCCCAGTGGCTAACTTTTAACCGTGGCCCACCGGTGGACGAAAATGGTGACGCTTCTGAAGTTATTACCTTTTAACACTGTAAACGATTATCAATACAAGTTTTGTGACGTCATTTTGAGCATGCGCAGTCCAAAATCTTAGAAACACAAGCCTCGACACCAAGTGTTGCAGCCTCCATAGGCTACGCAACGTCGGCCTAGTAGCTGATACCAAACTGTGGCCAACGGAGGATGAAAATGATGGCGCTCCTGAAAAAGTATTCTGAAATATTGTTAAGTGTAGCAAAAGTACTGAGCGCATATTTCTCGTGTGCAAGTTTTTGACTGATGAAAAGAACGGATTTGCCCTTAAAGCACCGGGAAGTGGGGGCGGAATCTGGTGATTGAACTGGAGGAGTGAAGGAAGGGTCTCTATTTTTCTTGTTTTTGCAAGTATTTGTCTATCCAGAAGACAGATTAACACGGCGCCCGCCGTCTGGTGGCAATTGCAGTGGCCGAGACGTTTTGGTTTTTCGGAAGCTGCAACCCAGACCATCCCTGCTCTCGAGGT